CAGATGGGCGAGCGCACGATAGGGAGTGAGTGGTGCGCAAGCGCGCGAAGCCTAGGCCGTGTAGGAACAGGCGGAGGAGAGACGGCGCATGGGCGAGCCGCGTGCGCAGTTGGCGACGCGTGCGAGATGGGCGAAGACCTAGGCCTAGTAGGCTTAGGCAAGCTGGGCGACACGCACGGGATAGTCACGCGGGCGAAGGGTGCGATCGCGTGCGCACCCGAAGGGCGAGGCAAGGCCAAGGCAGCAAGCCTAGTCCTCATAGGAATAGGCATGGCGCGAATCCTCGACCCCGCAGGACTAGGAAAAGCGGTTGAGTATCGTGATGTGCGTGAAGGATCGGTGACGGGAGAAATCCTCGGAAGATCAGGTAACGTAGCCGGGAGCATATTCTTAGTAGGAATAGGCAAGGTGGATATGGGCTCGAAGTCTGATCCTTCAAGGAATAGGAATAGCATACACAAGGCGCGAGACCTTACTCCTCGAGGCAAGTAAATTGGCGGGCGTAGGAGACGCGACCTTAGTCCTCGAGGACTAAGGCAAGGAGGCGTGTGGCGGCGGGAACACCTAGGTGGCGTGAGAGAGAGAGGGAGGAGGTTGGAAAGTCTTCTACTTGGAGTGCAAGACAAGAATACTTTGAGTGCAAGCCAAGGCATTAGATCCCCTAGCTATTTGGTTTCCTTATTGCATTATAATATCTAGATTGGTTAGGATACTTAATATTTTATTGCTTTATTATTTTCCTTGGTAGAATAGACTTAGATCTAGTTGGTGCCTATATAAAGGCCCCTTCCCCATGTTATTTTTCATGAATTCAATCATCCAAGAAATCAATAGAAGTCTAGAACTTTGTTCTTCCAACTTTGCTTTAGTCTTTGCACCAGAATACTATTGCAATTTTATCGTTTCAATAGGCGCGGTTGTGGCTTGAGAAACACTATCGGCGATTCAAGGCGCGGGTTCGTGGCTTATCGGCAGTCGAAACACACAATCCTCATCAGCGAGCCCGTGCGCGTGCGCTGCACCCGTTAGCCACCCGACTTGCGTGCCATCCATTTCTTCGAGCCACCTGGTGCTTTGGCCATCCCCACCAGGTTTCACTCCTTCGATAAACATCCCGATACCTCCGATGGCGCGTCCATTTGCGACGTTGTCTTCCTTGGCCTAAACGCGTTCCGTGCTCGGGCTTGGTAGGGTCGGGGTCCACTTCCGCATCATTCCCGCCCCCTTTAAGCACATCCTTGTCCTCAAGGATCGAGGCTAACTCCAAACTCCTCATCTCGGCATCTCGATTTATTCCTTTCGGTTCGGTTTTTAGCATGATGAGTCGGCTTCCCGAGTAGAATTCCATTATGCCTTTTTTGTAATTCGTAGTGACTTCTCCAAGTCCTTCAAGCCATTGGATTCCAAGAACTATCTCGGGTCCCACAATAGGTAGTGCATAGAGGTCGGCTTTGATGATCTCACCTTGCAGGTTGATGGGCACTTCCCGATAATATTCGTGACATCTCAGCCGCTCTCCATTGGCAACCCTTACATCAAACAGTTCCACCCTTGTTGCCTTGAGCTTTAAGTCCTTAGGTACTTTGTCGCAAATGAAGTTATGCGATGAGCCGGTGTCGACTAGTACCTCGATTGGTCGTTCCTTGATCATGGCAGGCAGTCGGATTGTTCTCGGCCCTTGTAGGCCTGCCATTGCATTAACCGAGATCTCCAAATCTTCTTTCACTTGCTGCTTCGGCTGGTCCTCATAGGCCTCTTCCTCGTCTTCTTCGATGACGTCGATCAGAAAATATTGTTTGCATTGATGGCCTGGGGTGAACCTTTCTTCGCATTTGTAGCAGAGAACCTTCTCACGTCGGCGTCTCATCTCCTCGAACGTGAGTTGTTTAACGCCCGGAGGTGGCGTTCGAAAGTTGTTCGGCGGTCGTGGTTTGGGATGGGCGTTGCTCTCGTTTGATGGCGCGCTGTCTTTGATTGTGCGCTCGTCCAAGTGTTGATCCGCGCGCCGTTGCTCAAAGTTGCGCACACTCTCTCGCCCGATCCTCCGTGTGGTCGTTAAGTGTTCATCCCTCCTTCGCGCAGATTCCATGGCCTCGCGCATGGTCCGTGGTTGGTCGAGCCTTACTTCTGCGGCTAGCTCGAATTTGAGCCCACCTATGAAAGTCCCGATGAGTGCAGAGATCGGCCAGTTGCGCACCCGACAAGCGAGTCGCTCGAACTCTTTCATGTAGTCTCGAAGACTTCCTGTCTGCTTGATGTGTGAAAGTGCCTCATCGTAGCTATGATAGTCGGACGACCCGAATCGAGAAAGTAGCTCGCGCTCAAATTCTCCCCATGGGATGTGGAGCGGGTTGCCTTGGTAGACGCTCACGAGCCATTGCCACCAAACATTGGCTTCTCCGTCTAGATAATAGGCTGCATACTTAACCCTCTCATACCAAGGCGTCTCGTTGATGTCAAAATATTGCACAGCTCGATTAAGCCATGCCTCGGGGTTTTCTCCGTTGAACGTGGACAACACAAGCCTCGGTTTCTCGATACGTGGGCGACCTTGATGATTCGAGGCCTGCGATTGCCTATCGTACTCCTCCTCCTGCTCGCGCTCGAATTGCTAAAACTATCTCCTAGCTTGGTCGTGTGGATGGGGCGGTGGTCGAGCTCCATGCGGGGGTGGTCGATTGTCATGTGGAGGTGGTCGAGCGTCGAACGGTGGTGGTCGATCGTCGTGGCGCGGTGGTTGATGACCTTGGAAATTCCTCAAGAGTTCTTCGAACCTTTGGTTGATGGCCTCCATCGACGCCGTGCGGTGATCAATTATGGCGGCCCTGGTGTCGACGAGCTCTCTGGTTAGGGGTTCGAATCTCGCATCGACAGATTCGCTCATGGTTTTGAATTGGCCTTCAATGCTCTCAATTTTTTCCTTCATCTCTCGATTGGCCATGGCTTTCTTCTCTTCTCTTCGCTCTTTGCTTCGAGGACTCGTGTTTGAATTATATTTTTTTTATTTCTCCAAAAACTCACACAACTAACAAAAATATATATATATATATATATATTTTTTTTTTTTTTTTT